ACTCACCTTAGAACGATAGAATCAAAGTTGTAAGGGACCCTGAGGATTATCTAGTCCAACCCCTTGAAATGCAGGAATATGCAAATGTCCCATATGGGGATCAAATCAGCAGCCTTGGCATTATCAGCGCCATGCTCTAACCAACTCAGCTACCCAGACTTTGGGATAGGATGGGCCATTGTTGTTGTTGTTGCTGTTTAGTCGTTTAGTCGTGTCCGACTCTTCGTGATCCATGTACCAGAGCACGCCAGGCACTCCTGTCTTCCACTGCCTCCCGCAGTTTGGTCAAACTCATGCTGGTAGCTTCGAGAACACTGTCCAGCCATCTCGTCCTCTGTCGTCCCCTTCTCCTTGTGCCCTCCATCTTTCCCAACATCAGGGTCTTTTCCAGGGAGTCTTCTCTTCTCACGAGGTGGCCAAAGTATTGGAGCCTCAGCTTCAATACAAAAACCACATAGGGCAGCTGCTGAAACTATATTTAAAAAAGCCAAGCAGTGGATTATGGCAGCACCTAGCAGAAAGAGTTGTTGTTACGCAACAAAATTGTTTTAAAATGGTTTAAAGAAGATCCAATACTGGAGGCAGAATAATTAATCATAACGAAAAAACTTAAATATCTCCTATGGTTTAAAGAAAACTATTGGGAACTTAAATTTGAAATTCTTCCTTAGTATAAGAACCTAGTATGAAATTAAAGACAGAATATCTATGGGTCTGTCATCTTTATCTTCCCCATTTTGTAATGAATTTCTAAATGTGGAATAAATGGTAGTTAAATACTTCAAGCAATGGGAAAATACTGGTTTAGAAAGCATAAAGATGTTGTGGGGTCGTCATTCTGACAATTGAGGAGGTTGTGGGTACTATGAAAGGAAGGAGACCTCTACTCTTCCAGTATTTGAAATTAGAGGTGTGATCTCCTCTCTGATACAAAAACATGGGGAAGTCAGGAAAGAGAACAATTGTGAAACTCTATTGTCTCTTAGTTGGATAAAGATGTAACTTCAAGACTGAATTTCAATATTAAGACTGGTTAAACTTGGATCAGAATCAAATAGAGAAATTATATGTGCAAGATTTGGATCAAACAATAACCAGGAAACAATGGAACTGCATTTGGAATAACTTCTAATATAATTTCAGCAGACCTAAAAGAGAACCAATGGTCCATCTAGCCAGTGCCGGATTTACGTACAGTGGTACCTCGGGTTAAGAACTTAATTCGTTCTGGAGTTCCGTTCTTAACCTGAAACTGTTCTTAACCTGAGGTACCACTTTAACTAATGGGGCCTCCTGCTGCCACCGCTGCACGATTTCCTGTTCTCATCCTGAAGCAAAGTTCTTAACCCGAGGTACTATTTCTGGGTTAGCGGAGTCTGTAGCCTGAAGCGTCTGTAACCCGAGGTACCACTGTATTAGGTCCATAAACTACCATATAGCATACAGTCATACCACTTGTTACGTTCGGTTCAGGTTACGTCTTTTCAGGTTGCATCCCGCGGCGCCCCGGAGGTACCAGAAAGGGTTCCTTCTGGGTTTGCCGCTCGCGCAAGCGCAGACGCTCAAAATGACGTCGCGCGCATGCGCAGAAGCAACAAATTGCAACCCACGCATGTGCAGACACAGGTTGCGTTCTGCTCATGTTGCGAACGGGGCTCCGGAACGGATCCCGTTTGCAACCAGAGGTACCACTGTATATTCAACACAAAAAACAGCGACAATTTGTTGTTGACAAAGGACAGCTGGACATATAAAGGGCCCCGTTACCAGTAGCTTAGAGCCTCATCAGACCTAAATCTAGCCCAGCACTGTGGCTGAAGAGTTGCCTGCATGGGAAACCAGCAAGCTCAAGAGCCCTCTTCCCCTCCAGCGGCTTCCTGAAACTGTGGTGCTTTGTTGTTGTTTAGTTGTGTCCGACTCTTCGTGACCCCATGGACCAGAGCACGCCAGGCACTCCTGTCTTCCACTGCCTACCGCAGTTTGGTCAAACTCATGTTCGTAGCTTCAAGAACACTGTCCATCCATTTTGTCCTCTGTCGTCCCCTTCTCCTTATGCCCTCAATCTTTCCCAACTCCAGGGTCTTTTCCAAGGAGTCTTCTCTTCTCATGAGGTGGCCAAAGTCTTGGAGTCTCCATTCCACATTTGCAAGAACTCTGATCGCTTAGCGTGGCGGCCCCTGCCCTTTGGAACTCCCTGCCTACTGAGATCCAGAAAGCGCCTTCACCGCACTGCTTTTGGTGCCTGCTAAAAGCATTCCTGTTTAGGCAATGCTACCCAGATGCTTAGGGACGTGGGTGGCGCTGTGGGTTAAACAACAGAGCCTAGAACTTGCCGATCAGAAGGTCGGCGGTTTGAATCCCCGCAACGGGGTGAGCTCCCGTTGCTTGGTCCCAGCTCTTGCCAACCTAGCAGTTCGAAAGCACGTCAAAGTGCAAGTAGATAAATAGGTACCGCTCCGGTGGGAAGGTAAACGGGGTTTCTGTGCACTGCTCTGGTTGCCAGAAGCGGCTTAGTCATGCTGGCCACACGACCCGGAAGCTGTACCCCGGCTCCCTCGGCCAATAAAGCGAGATGAGCACCGCAACCCCAGTCGGCCACGACTGGACCTAATGGTCAGGGGTCCCTTTACCTTTACCCAGATGCTTAGGAAGGAATCAAATCAGACTTTTAAAAGCTGGAAGGCACCCCAAAGGTCATCTCACCCAAACCCCTGCATCTCAACTAAAGCACCAATGCAAGCTCTGCTTAAAAACCTCCAAGGGAGGAGAGTCCACAACTTCCCGAGACCATGCCACTGTCAAACAGCTCTTAAAGTCAGAAAGTAAGTCGACAAGGTCATTTTAATCCGTGCTAGCATGTTAACTTTGGCGTGTTTTAAAGTAGGGTTGTAGATTTTTGGTTTTTTTGTGATTCGCTTTGAGGGTAACCGTGTGTTTACGATGAAGCGGTGTATAAATTCTATGAAATTAAGTAAGTATGTAATGAATGATGCTTTACAGGGTTAAAGGAAAAATGGCGTAATAAAAGTATAAAGATAGAACTAATCTACATTAGACACAACCATTTAGAAAGAGTAAATTTTTTGAGGTCTTAGAACAAAGGAAGTCAACAGGTGTATATGTAATGACTAGATTAGAATGAGGATATGGTTTTATTTGTAGATGTGTGCTTTTTTGTTTTGTTTTTTGTGTGTCCTGTTTTTCTTTCTTGTTTGTACAGTATTATTTTGGATTCAATGTTTGTAAGTTTTGTTGTAACTCTGCATTGAAAATAAAATACAGTAATAATAATAATAAATTAAGTAATTTCTTTTTTAAAAAATATTTATTAAGGTTTTTAAGCAATACAACACCCTACACATACATACAACTCCATCACCAAGAAAAATAGAAAGAAGATACACACAATACAAAGGGGAAAAAAGAAAGAAAAATAGAATACAATATCTTCAAAAACCAAGTTTCTGTAACCTTACTTTCGGACTCCCTCACATCTCCCTTTCCTGCATTCCGGTTTAAAAAGTCATGTTCAGCAGTACTTCACCTTCTCTCAATTCTTATTTTTGTACCTTTCAGATATTATGTCTCAAATTTTACACTTTGTTATCAAGTATTTAGATATTTAAATTTGACATAATATTAATCAATTTTCATCTTTGTTCTTATAATTCAATTATTTTCATGTTTCTTTCCACTAAATTTACTAATGCCAGATTTTCTCTCTATCCTGCATCATTCTAACATTCATACAATTTACAGTACTTTTGCAAATAGTCCTTAAATTTCTTCCAGTCCTCTTCCACCATCTCTTCTCCCAGGTCTCAGATTCTGCCAGTCATTTCTGCCAATTCCATATAATCTATCAGTTGCGTCTGCCATTCTTCCAGAGTGGGCAAATCTTGTGTCTTCCAGTATTTTGCAAATTAAGTAATTTCTTGGCCCAACCGTTGAGTTCTCCCTTCCATTTCTCCACCTCGCCCCCCCCCACCCCGCACTTTGAGTGCCACAAACTTCTCTAGCGCTGAGCGAAACGCGCTCTGCACCAACCGAGCAGACCCCTTTTATAGCCTGTATATACTGTATAACTTACATGCAGGTTGCTCAGTTTTGTTGTCATTCATTGTTTGCAATGCCTTGTATTCCATTTCCAGCTGATGAAGACTTTATTCCGAAACAGTTGAGACTTCTGAGAGACGTCTTCCTTTGAGACTTTTATGAGACATCTTCCTTTGAGAGACGGCTTGGGATTCCTTGCTATTCATTTGATTCTTTGTTTGACTCTGATATATATAACAACTTGTAGTTACATGTATATTTTGTGAGATGTGTTGTATTCATATATTTTGAATGACATCATAACCAATTCACTAATAGTTATTAGCCAGCGTGTTGCATTTGCATTTTTGTAGATCATGGTAGACTAAGCAGGTTCAAACTTTGCCTGACCTGCTTCTGAAAAACCCAGCCACACCCCCACATCTGTCACTGGCCCTGCTATGAACTCTCCTTAAGTGGCTGGAATGCCTCCCTGAACTCCGATGATGCCACTTCCTTGCCTGGAGGGACAGCACAGGTGTGTGCTTGTGCAGAAACTAGCCTACCGGAGGACGGCAAACATTAAATTCCTGCTCTGCTCACTTTTGCCTAAGGCTGTATCCACCCCTGTCATGTGGGCTGAAAATGGTGTCTGCCAACCTTAATATCATCAAAAGTCTCTGTTTGATCTTTTATGGTGTAAAGCGACCTCCAATCTGCAGGCCATATTTGGCCGGCTTCTGGTCCCAATTTGGCCTACAAATCCTTTCCTCCCCCAAACCACGTCCACTGGCCCGACACTTGACATGGCTGCCAATACACAAATGGCAGTCTTAAAGTGTGCTCCAGGTTGTGCCTGGGGAAAAGGAGGATTACCCCTGATGTAACATGCATTTTAGAGAAATCACATAAAAGTAATGCAATAATTCCTAAAGGATCGCACATTTCACTTTTCTGTTATTCACATAGCACTTTTATTTATATATTTCAAATTTCCAAGCTTGTTTGTTTCAGTTCTATACCACCTTTGCGGGTGATTAACAAAGTTATTAACATGACAAATTAAAGCAAAAGAATATTAAAATGGAATTACCAGTCAGCACAAAAAAACAACCTAAAAGCCAGCATAAACACAAACAGCATAAAGTACATGCAGGTCCTGCTGTCCACCTGCTCACTATCTGCCAGTTCACTTATCCAAACATAAATAATCATGCCCAAACCTTGCTATACACTCCACAGATTCAGATATCCAAAGAGCCAGAGTTTGCCCACTTCCTCACTTGTGCTTGGCTGGTCAGTGGCAGCCATTTTTGGACAGAAACCATGGGGAAAGGGAGTGGGGAGAGAGATTGGACAAATCAGTTTTTTGTTTTGCTTCCCTTTATCTGGTTGGCTGCAGCCATTTTAGGAACAAACCATGGCAGGGGCGGACAGAGATAACCGATTCCCAAAGGCATCAGTGGGAATTGTGGATTTGTTTGCAAACATTTGCCTAACAAAGGATTTCCAGGAAATATATTGAGGACGGCTAACAGGATATGCTGGTAACAAAGCATTCGTGGTGACTATTGAAGGGCCTTGAGTTTACTTGTGTTTACAATGTTTATTCCCCAAGCCTTGTCGTTTTGCAATCTCCCATTGCCCTCACAACAGCCAACAATAACAAAGTACAGTATATCGAAACCATGCAAATATTTTGCTAACTACTGGTTTTTATGACACTACTTAATTTTGCTTCATTCCACACATAACAGATGAACTCTATCCTCAGTGAGGTCAGGAAAAGAGCACCCATCCCTTTACCCAACCAGCCAGCGCTTCCGTTTTCCAAAGGACCACACAGGCTCATCTTGGGTCTTCACTATTTGGTTGACTTTGCTTCTGGGGCACGCTTCTCTTCCTGCTGAGTGGCAGAGACAAAAGAAAAAGCACAGAATGAAGTCAATGCCAAGTTATCACCAACCTAGGTGGGCTTATGGAAGACTGCCATAAAGGAAACGGGGTCAAAGCTTGTCCAACCATAAGGAGGCTGGGGTGACTGCTTATTGCTGTTGCAGTGCTCAATACATATAGCATTAAAACTTGAGTAAAAGCAAAGTTTTTTGAAGGATAATTGCTCTGAACAAACCCAAAAAATCCTAAACTTTTGTTAGCCAGCAGAGGCAGTGACCTTTTAGTGTAAAATATGCCTTTGGCAATGACAAACCTAGACAGCATCTTAAAAAGCAGAGACATCACCTTGCCAACAAAGTTCCATATACTTAAAGCTATGGTTTTCCCAGTAGTGATGTATGGAAGTGAGAGCTGGACCATAAAGAAGGCTGATCGCCAAAGAATTGATGCTTTTGAATTATGGTGCTGTAGGAGACTCTTGAGAGTCCCATGGACTGCAAGAAGATCAGACCTCTCCATTCTGAAGGAAATCAGCCCTGAGTGCTCACTGGAAGGACAGATCGTGAAGCTGAGGCTCCAATACTTTGGCCACCTCATGAGAAGAGAAGCTCCCTGGAAAAGACCCTGATGTTGGGAAAGATGGAGGGCACAAGGAGAAGGGGATGACAGAGGACGAGATGGTTGGACAGTGTTCTCGAAGCTACCAGTATGAGTTTGACCAGACTGCGGGAGGCAGTGGAAGACAGGAGTGCCTGGCGTGCTCTGGTCCAGGGGGTCACGAAGAGTCGGACACGACTAAACGACTAAACAACAACAACAACAACATGCCTTTGGACATCATGGTAAAGCCCAAAGGTCTACAGGCTGTGTTAAGATGGAAGGCAGAGGTGCAATCTCAGTTAGGATACATGGGGGAGAAATCTGATTCAGTTTGAAGTGAACCTCCCTAATTCACAGTTTCCTAAACAGTACGCAAACATCCTTTGAACGTCACTTTTCCAAATATTGCAGTGCATTTTCAAAGCCAAATAATGTGTACAAAGATGCATATAGTATATTTTTAAAAACAACAACACAAGAATGTGCATTCTATTAGGGGAAGTACAGAATTGTACACACATATGCACATCACAATAAATTCAATTAAACTGCTAATGAATCTTCATGAGGACTTTTTAAAAAAAAATTATAAACTGATGTGCAGAATTGAGCTTACTGAAAAATCTTTACCAGTTCCATCCATTATTGGGAGAGAAGTACAAATAAACACAGGGGACAGACTTACTTTGTTATATGTGGTGTCACCGGAATCAGGCGGGCTGTAAGGGGGTGGAGCCTGGAACACAAAAATATAGATACCAGGGGATGAGAGCAGATGTTGAAAAGTGCATGGCTTCAGATAGTGGGGACTAAGCTTTAGAAATCCAGCCACTTGCATCATAACAGTTTTCTTGTTCCAACTTTTCATCCTCAGAGACCTGAAACTGCTATGTAGTCTCATCCATCTTTTCCAACTCTGTGCTGAATCATTTAAAAACAGAAACCAGGCATTCACCCAGAAATCATTAATATCCCGTCCAGAATTTTGCAGGTAAAAAGGTGAGGGCCTCCTCAAATTATTTTTGAGGAGCCCCATCTCTTTGACAAATGGCCGTTTCCCAGGTTAGATGCCCCATAAACCACACTGGCAAGTTTAAGCTAAGGACAAAAGAGGAGAAAAACCAACTCACTTTAATCTCAGAAAATTCAAAGCGGTTCACTGAGACATCACCTTTGACCTCCAAAGTCTGGATTTCTTTGAGGGGAACACGGTGCTTGTACTCCAAAAAGTGATTTCCATTGACATACACCTACAGGAAAAATGAAACAAGTATTCCCTCATTCAGTTACCAGCTGGCAGGTACAAGAAGAAGGCTTCAGGTGTTTAAAAGACTACCAGGCGTAATACAATGTGAGTTCTTGTGGGATATAGCTTCTTAAAAAACCATCTTTAGATGCGGCCACGATGGCCAACTATCGCCCAGTCTCAAATCTTCCATTCTTGGGCAAGGTGATTGAGCGAGTGGTTGCTGAACAACTGCAGGCACGCCTGGAAGAAGCGGACCATTTGGATCCAGTCGGGATTCAGGCCTCATCATGGGACTGAGACTGCCTTGGCTGCACTGGTTGATGATCTCCAGCGGGCTAGGGACAAAGGTGAGAGCTGTTTCCTAGTTCTGCTGGATCTCTCAGAGGCCTTTGACACCATCGACCATAACATCCTTCTGGACCGTCTAGAGGGGCTGGGAGCGGGGGCACTGTCATACGGTGGTTCCGCTCTTTCCTCCTGGGCCGTGTCCAGAAAGTGGTGTTGGGGGATGAGTGTTCAGACCCCTGGGCTCTCACTTGTGGGGTGCCTCAGGGTTCCGTCCTCTCCCCTGTGCTTTTTAATATCTAGATGAAGCCGCTGGGAGAGATCATCAGGGGGTTTAGGCTGGGTGTTCATCAGTATGCAGATGATACCCAGCTCTACCTCTCTTTTAAATCAGAACCAGTGAAGACGGTGAAGGTCCTGTGTGAGTGCCTGGAGGCGGTTGAAGGATGGATGGTGGCTAACAGATTGAGGTAGAATCCTAAAAAGACAGAAGTACTGTTTTGGGGGGACAGGGGGCGGGTGGGTGTGGGGGACTCCCTGGTCCTGAATGGGGTAACTGTGCCCCTGAAGGACCAGGTGCGCAGCCTGGGAGTCATTTTGGACTCACAGCTGTCCATGGAGGTGCAGGTTAATTCTGTGTCCAGGGCGGCTGTCTACCAGCTCCATCTGGTACGCAGGCTGAGACCCTACCTGCCTGCGGAGTGTCTTGCCAAAGTGGTGCATGCTCTAGTTATCTCCTGCTTGGACTACTGCAATGCGCTCTATGTGGGGCTACCTTTGAAGGTAACCCGGAAATTGCAATTAATCCAGAATGCGGCAGCTACACTGGTGACTGGGAGTGGCCGTCGGAACCATATAACACTATAGTTCCCAGTACGTTTCCGAGCACAATTCAAAGTGTTGGTGCTGATCTTTAAAGCCCTAAATGGCCTTGGTCCTGTATACATGAAGGAGCATCTCCAACCCCATCGTTATGCCCGGACACTGAGATCCAGCACTGAGGGCCTTCTGGCGGTTCCCTCATTGCGAGAAATGAGGTTACAGGGAACCAGGCAGAGGGCCTTCTCGATAGTGGCGCCTGCCCTGTGGAACGCCCTCCCTTCAGATGTGAAGGAAATAAGCAGCTATCCTATCTTTAAAAGACATCTGAAGGCAGCCCTGTTTAGGGAAGTTTTTAATATTTAATGCTGCATTGTTTTTAATACTTGATTGGAAGCCGTCCAGATGGGCGGGGTATAAAAAATAAATTATTATTATTATTATTATTATTATTATTATTATTATTATTATTATTTCCTCCTCAGCCTTTCCTTTTCCAGCTGACACTCCAGGTTACTTGCTATCAAATGGAGTAACCTGGCTCACCGCCCCAGTCCCACCGCACCTGATAGCAGCCACTCTCAAGATTGACGGTCATCTCAAAAGAATTGTTCTGCTTGAAAGGCATGCTGGAGGCAATTTCCTCTTCCCCCCAGAAGACTTCGTCACTCTTCCAGAACTCCCAGAGCTGTTTTTCACTTTTCATCTGCGTGTTGCACACGACCACCGGCTTTAGCATATCAAATCGCGGATTGAAGTGGAAGGCGATGTCGCCATTGGCGCACAGGAAATTCACTGCAAATCTGAAATGTGAGAAGGGTAGACGCACTGTGAGGAAGGAGAAAGCGGCCGATCACAGAGGGAAAGGAACTGGAAAGGCCAAGTGGACAAAGAAGCAGGAACAACAATACACATGTGGTGGGGTTGTGAGGAGATTAAGAAATTTTGGGGAGTAATACATGAGGAATTAAAGAAAATGTTGAAAATCGCAATTGTTAGAAAGCCAGAGGCGTATCTCTAGGCTTGATAGGGAAAGCTATACCGCAAGTGAAAAAAAAGCATTTTTCTATATGCAACTACGGCAGCCAGGGTAGTGATTGCTTCTAAATAGAAATCTCAAATCTTGCCCTCAAAAGAGGGGTGGATTTGCAAATTAAATGAATATTTAAGTTACAGGGAACCAGGCAGTGGGCCTTCTTGGTAGTGGCACCCTCCCTGTGGAACGCCCTCCCACCAGATGTCAAAGAGAACAACAACTACCAGACTTTTAGAAGACATCTGAAGGCAGCCCTGTTTAGGGAAGCTTTTAATGTTTGATGTATTACAGTATTTTAATATTTTTTTGGAAGCAGCCCAGACTGGCTAGGGAAGCCCAGCCAGATGGGCGGGGGTATAAATATTAAATTATTATTATTATTATTATTATTATTATTATTATTATTAATTTATTTCTTTAGAACTGGCAAAGCTAACCTCAATCGTAAGATATCAGTCAAATCAAAAATTAAAAAAGGAATGGAAATGTTTCAAAGATTTTATGTTAAAATCTTGTAATAAGAAAGATATGCTAATATGCCTAGAATAAAAATGTAAAGTATATCCATGAATTGGAAAAGAGAAGAGATAAATTGGAAAAGAGAAGATATAAAAGAAATACAAAGAATGATAAATTTGGAGAATGCAAAGATAAAAGCGGAAATAGAGATTCAAAGAAGTCGAATTGTGGTGGAAGAAAGCTGCGGGTGGGGAGCATTATATGATAAGTATGTAATATTTGTTTTCAGCGTTTTTGGATTTTCAATTTTTTTTTCTTTTTTTTTGTTGTTTGGTTTTTTTCTGTATTATTTAAACAAAAATAAATAAACATGCAAACCAAAAAAGAAACGGCCAAGTGGAGGGGAGAATGGAGCAAGAGAGAAAGGCAAGGTTTGGAAAGGGCAGGATTCATGAAGGCTGACCAGAGGGAGCACAACTGGGACTCAGCAAAAGGAAGTGGGAACACCACAGCAAAGTTTAAACCACAGAGCCTAGGACTTGCCGATCAGAAGGTCAGTGGTTCGAATCCCCGTGACGGGGTGAGCTCCCATTGCTGGGTCCCTGCTCCTGCCAACCTAGCCGTTCAAAAGCATGTCAAAGTGCAAGTAGATAAATAGGTACCACTCCAGCGGGAAGGTAAACGGCGTTTCCATGCGCTGCTCTGGACTAAGCCAGAAGCGGCTTAGTCATGCTGGCCACATGACCCGGAAGCTGTACGCCGGCTCCCTCGGCCAATAAAGCGAGATGAGCGCCACAACCCCAGAGTCAGTCACGACTGGACCTAATGGTCAGAGGTCCCTTTACCTTTACCTATAGCATGCCCATTGATTATCCTCCCCGAGTCTTTTAAGGATGAATATAATTCTATCAAGGCATGTACTTGCCAGTGCTCTGAATTAACCCTCCAACGAATAACAGGCTGAAGTTCATTCCCAGATCCTTATCCCCGATTCCCGGTTCCTCGCTTGACAAAACAGAGAGCTGAGGGAACAGCTTGAATCAGGACTTCCGGTGCATGTGCCCCTGTAGTCCAATACACCTCTGTGATAAGATGCTCACTAGCTCTCAGTAATATATATATATATATATATATATATATATATATATATATATATATATATATATATTCATGTATATTCCAGGGGAAGACATATTCATTAACATCCAAGTCTCAAGATTTGCTCTGGCCACTGAGAAAATGCAAGCCAGGTTCCAAGAAACTTGGTGTGTGTGTGCTTCTGTTCTGTTGTAATATTTAACACTTTATAGCTTATTGAAGAGTTACTGTTATGTACTGAAGTTCTCACCCTGGGCCAGCAGGGGGATACTGTAGATAGTTATGCAAATGAAGGATTGAAAGTGACATTCAGTGATTGGATAGTTTGTATGCAAATGAAGGATCGAAAGTGACGTTCAGGGATTGGATAGTTTTAGAAAGTTGTTACAGTAACAAGGTACTGGAGCTCTATATAAGCAGGCTGACTGAGCCCTTCAGTTCAGTTCTGTCCTGGCCTGTGAATAAACAAGAGCTGTTTGAAGAATCGCTGTGTCGTCTGATATGTTCGCCCACAACTTAACAGTTACAGTGTGTGATATGCATGTCATAGAATTCTATTTAATATTGATCCAGAGCAGAACCCCAATGTACAGTGAAATGTACTCCAGGCTTAGTACATAACATATAAATTCCCTCCAGTAGCACCGTAAAGACCAACTAAGTTAGTTCTTGGTATGAGCTTTCGTGTGCATGCACACTTCTTCAGGTATCTTCAGGTATTCAGATACCTGAAGAAGTGTGCATGCAGACGAAAGCTCATACCAAGAACTAACTTAGTTGGTCTTTAAGGTGCTACTGGAAGGAATTCTTTTGTTTTGACTATGGCAGACCAACACGGCTACCTATCTGTAACTGGTACATAACATATAGTTAACAGAGTAAAAATCTAAACACGTTGCAGGATTCCCTAAAAATAGACCCTAAAAAAAGACCAAATAGACCAATATTTCATCCAGCAGAGCTTTACTGCTGCTGAAGGCATGTGAGCATAATGGTCACAAATCCAATACATTCAGGATTGACAATGAATCATAGAATCATAGAGTTGGAAGAGACCACAAGGGCCATTGAGTCCAACCCCCTGCCAAGCAGGAAACACCATCAGAACACTCCTGACATATGGTTGTCAAGCCTCTGCTTAAAGACCTCCAAAGGAGGAGACTCCACCACACTCCCTGGCAGCAAATTCCACTGTCGAACAGCTCTTACTGTCAGGAAGTTCTTCCGAATGTTTAGGTGGAATCTTCTTTCTTGTAGTTTGAATCCATTGCTCCGTGTCCGCTTCTCTGGAGCAGCAGAAAACAACCTTTCTCCCTCCTCTATGTGACATCCTTTTATATATTTGAACATGGCTATCATATCACCCCTTAACCTCCTCTTCTCCAGGCTAAACATGCCCAGCTCCCTTAGCCGTTCCTCATAAGGCATCGTTTCCAGGCCTTTGACCATTTTGGTTGCCCTCCTCTGGACACGTTCCAGTTTGTCAGTGTCCTTCTTGAACTGTGGTGCCCAGAACTGGACACAGTACTCCAGGTGAGGTCTGACCAGAGCAGAATACAGTGGCACTATTACTTCCCTTGATCTAGATTCTATACTCCTATTGATGCAGCCCAGAATTGCATTGGCTTTTTTAGCTGCCGCGTCACACTGTTGGCTCATGTCAAGTTTGTGGTCAACCAAGACTCCTAGATCCTTTTCACATGTACTGCTCTCAAGCCAGGTGTCCCCAATGTTCCCTAAGAAATCCAGTTGCACCAGACTTAACTTAAACGTACGATAACTTATAATACATCTAAACCTTAACACTATACAGTATGCAGAGATAGAAAGAGAAAGTGAATCCCAGGCTCCTTCTGGCCCTACTTTTATAGTCAGCATGACCTTCACAGAAACAGATAAGCGAACCAGTTTAAACCAACTGTACTAGCTTCTCTGAAGGTAATACTCAAACATCATGAACCTTCTTGCTTGTTTCTTTCACACAGAGAAGCTTTCAGAATCCTCTTGAATTAATTAAAATAGGAAAGATCTCTACACATCAGATCAATACAGTGGTACCTCAGGTTACAGACGCTTCAGGTTACATACGCTTCAGGTTACAGACTCCACTAACCCAGAAATAGTGCTTCAGGTTAAGAACTTTGCTTCAGGGTGAGAACAGAAATCGAGCTCCGGTGGCACGGCAGCAGCGGGAGGCCCCATTAGCTAAAGTGGTGCTTCAGGTTAAGAACAGTTTCAGGTTAAGAACGGACCTCCAGAACGAATTAAATACTTAACCCGAGGTACCACTGTACTTTCTGCACTAAGAAAGGCAAACTGACAGTGCAAGGAGGTGTTATTAGTTTTCAGGTGTGTGTGTGCTGAATACCTCAAAATGATTATTTAGCTCAGCCAGTAGACCATGAGACTCTTAATCTCAGGGTTGTGGATTCAAGCCTCACACTGAACAAATATTCCTGCATTGCAGGGGGTAGACTAGATGACTCTCGTGCTCCCTTCCAACTCTACAGTTCTGTGATACTTTTATTTGTTTGTTGTGTCTTTACTGTGGTGGTCTATTGCAACAACGAATGGCAACAAAATCAAGCGGCAAAATAAGCCCCACAGTAACACATTCAAATCAGCAACAACGCTTTTCAAACTTTTTAAATTTTTATTTTAAATCAGCATTTCTTTATGGAGTACTATTTTTTAAATTATTCCTAAGTGAACTCAAGAAGATTTAACAGCAGAACACGGCAGCTTCACTACCCTGACAGACTGCATACATCACCCCACATCCATGATTTTGGTCACAGAGGAAGAAGGGCCAGTTCTGAGAGGAAGAGATGGATGGGGCAGGATAAAGGTAAAGGTAAAGGTACCCCTGCCCATACGGGCCAGTCTTGCCAGACTCTAGGGTTGTGCGCTCATCTCACTCTATAGGCCGGGAGCCAGCGCTGTCCGGAGACACTTCCGGGTCACGTGGCCAGCGTGACAAGCTGCATCTGGCGAGCCAGCGCAGCACACGGAACGCCGTTTACCTTCCCGCTGGTAAGCGGTCCCTATTTATCTACTTGCACCCGGAGGTGCTTTCGAACTGCTAGGTTGGCAGGCGCTGGGACCGAACGACGGGAGCGCACCCCGCTGCGGGGATTCGAACCGCCGACCATGTGATTGGCAAGTCCTAGGCACTGAGGTTTTACCCACAGCGCCACCCGCGTCCCTTATGGGGCAGGATGGTTCCCCCCAAAAAAGGGAATTGAACATGACCAGCAGGCTTGACAAACCTTTTCGTGTACGGTCGGACAAAGCCTTGGATTAAAAACCTCTTTCCATCACTGAGGCCTTCAGTATTGGTCCAAGCAGCAGCAATGGGTAAACTCTGTGGAGTGGGGAGGAAAGTGCAAAAAGAAGGTCATCACATTCTTGATCCAATAGCCTCAAACTCAGCCTCAAAATTATCCCAACTGTCATGAAGATAACTCACATTTTAATGGAAACTGTTTATATCGGCTGCATACATGCTATAGTTTTAAAGCACATTTGAAGCACATTCTCTCCTCACCTCACTGTACTTTGTTAGGGGTTGCTGAGAATCATAACTCTCTGGGGGATAATGCCAGAATGCCCAGAATTATATGAGGGGGGGAAGGCGTGTCAAATGTATTTTAAAGGTAGAATTTTATGTATCCGTTGTTTGAAATGAGAATTTGTTTTAAGAGCACAGCCTTCAAGGGCCCTGGGTGGAGACGACAACACTGACAGAGCCCCGGCTCAGGTTTGAGAGTCTACCCCCATCTTCTGTGCTAGTATAAACTGCATTTGTTGATGTTGTTGTTGTTGTTGTTTAGTCGTGTCCGACTCTTCGTGACCCATGGACCAGAGCATGCAGGCACTCCTGTCTTCCACTGTAAGGGGGGGGGGAGGAAAGCTAAGATAATAGAATAACGAATGGTTCAGCTGGAAGGGACCCTGAGGGTCATCTAGTCCAACCCCCGCAATGCAGAAATCTCAAACTGAAGCACCCATGACAGATGGCCAGGCACCTCTGCTTAAAAAACGCCAAGGAATGAGAGTCCACCACCTTCTGAGCGCGTCCGTTCCGCTATCGAAAGCTCTTACACCAGAAAGTTCTTCCTGATGGCAAATCCTAACCGCTGATTTCCGAGTAACCTCAGCAGTGTGTGGGCTCACCATTCCTTCCTCCTCTCCAAATCAGAGGGAGGAGGTTAATCATAGCTGTCAACTTTTCCCTTTTCTTGCGAGGAATCCTATTCGGAATAAGGGAATTTCCCTTAAAAAAAGGAAAACGTTGACAGCTATGTGTTAAATGCATCTTTGCATTTAACATGCTGGGCTCCCACCAACCCCAAAGCCATAGAATAGCATTAGCTGGGAGGCCTGATAATTTTTGGGACTGTGGTGGGCACGAAGGAGGAATTTAACCCTTGCTCCCCCAGCTGAGGTCCCCTAGGGGCTTTAAGTTTATTCCCAAGTTAAGGTCTCTGCCTAGGGTGTCCCCAACTCTAGGACCAAGTGTGCATATTTGAGAAGCAGCCTCCTGATTTTTAAAACTTAACTACTTCCAGTAGGGGACGCAGGTGGCGCTGTGGGTTAAACCACAGAGCCTAGGTCTTGCTGATCAGAAGGTCGGCGGTTCGAATCCCTGCGACAGGGTGAGCTCCCGTTGCTCGGTCCCTGCTCCTGCCAACCTAGCAGTTCGAAAGCACATCAAGCGCAAGTAGATAAATAGGTACCGCTCCGGCGGGGAAGGTAAACGGCGTTTCCGTGCGCTGCTCTGGTTCGCCAGAAGTGGCTTAGTCATGCTTGCCCCATGACCTGGAAGTTGTACGCCTTCGGCAAATAAAGCAAGATGAAGCGCTGCAACCCAAGAGTCTTCGCGACTGGACCGAGTGGTCAGGGGTCCCTTTACCTTTACCTTTACTTCCAGTTAGAGATTTATAATAGATGATGATGATAAATGTATAGTTCATTTTGGAGAATAGGAACAAGGATGTGATGATTTTTGCTTTTCTGCTCCACAGAGTGTTCCCTTTCTGCAATACTTTCACGCGCCCTTGCGTGGGGGGATGTCGATTTGCATCATAGGCCAGGTCCTGTATTCCGCAAAAGGGTATGTCTCCCTGTGTGCCTCCTCTTTGCCTCCCATGCCCTCCTTCCCTCAACAAATGGCCCTTGAAGGACCACACATATCTGCTATTTGGCTCCCTGAAGAACAGATTCACACAAAGCGGCAAGACGCTCTTGCAGGTTATTAACAGGATTTTTATTTGAAGTGCATATGCAGAACAAAGGCACAGGGTGATCAGAACGCAACCTGTACACAGTAGTCAGGGTGCGCCCCTTTATATAGATTTGCAAAATAGAATACCACCTGATCTCTTGTAAGTCACCTGATTTCTTGTAAATCACCTGATTTCTGGGAAATCGAAACTTATAATAAGTTCCATAAATTAAGGGGTTTACAGCTGTAAAGGTTAAGATTAAAGAAAAAAGGAGGTTATAAATTTGATAAAACTAAGAGTAAGGATTTGCTGGGGGAAAAAGTTTGAAAATAGAATGCAGAAAGGGGAGGTATGGGGGAGTCGGGGAAATAAGTCACATGAAAACAAGGATCTGAAATTATACATGTTATTTGGTTTTGTGTTTGTTTGTGTTGTTGTGTTTGTTTGTTTGTTTGTTAAAAATTTTGTGAAAAATTGAATAAAAAAATTATTTTTAAAAAAGAAACTTATAATAAGTTCCTATTACCATATAAGGTCTTGGTCTTCTCTCCCTCCTTCCTGCAACCTCCCTCATCCTGGCATTACAAGAAATCCTTGTTCCTTATCTCTATCTGCCCAAGCTAGACATTCCGAGAGGCCCATTTGCAATGTAACATTTAAGCATGTCCTTCAATAATAGAACAATTATATTGTAATATGCTCCTTCACCCTTACCCCTCCTACAATCTTTCTCCTATTGCTAAAGAATTTCCCAGGCTGAAGTCAGAAAGTTATCTTGTTGTTGTTGTTGTTTTTTAGTCATTTAGTTGTGTCCGACTCTTCGTGACCCCACGGACCAGAGCACGCCAGGCACTCCTGTCTTCCACTGCCTCCCGCAGTTTGGTCAAACTCATGCTGGTAGCTTCGAGAACACTGTCCAACCATCTCGTCCTCTGTTGTCCCCTTCTCCTTGTGTCCTCCATCTTTCCCAACATCAGGGTCTTTTCCAGGGAGTCTTCTCTTCTCATGAGGTGGCCAAAGTATTGGAGCCTCAGCTTCAGGATCTGTCCTTCCAGTGAGCACTCAGGGCTGATTTCCTTAAGAATGGATAGGTTTGATCTTCTTGCAGTCCACGGGACTCTCAAGAGTCTCCTCCAGCACCATAATTCAAAAATTAACTGCATTTATATACTAATATTCATTCAATCATCTTTTATTGGCATAATTTAGACACCACATGATAAGGCTGAGCCAGGAGCACCACCACTCTCCCCCATAAAGAAAGCGTTGTTCCCCCTCTGAAATGCACTATCTCTGCACCCCACCCGCCATCTTGGAGCTGGTTCATCAACTTTTCGTCTCACATTCTCCTGGCGTGAAAGTGAGATGGGCCAGTCTGTCCATTTTGGTTTTTCTCAATTTCTTATTTCTCCAATCCTAAGAATAGCTCTCCACACTCCCACATCAGGTGCACTTTCTTTCCTCAAAGCCCCTATGAAAACTAAATCAGCACTTTGGTGTGCATTTCTTGTAATATACCGTATAACACGTTCTCATGCAGTCGCGCCTCATACACATATTTTTCCAAATCGATTTCCCCTGATACAACACGTTTCTGTATATTATTTTCATATGTGTGTTTTTATTTCCGCATTCCCCCAGTACTCTTGTGCATATTATTTTGCTACATTGTTAAATTCAGAGAAGTAAGTTCCAAAGGATAGGAATCATAACTCTCTGAGGGGTAATGCCAGAATGCCAGGATTCTTTGACGGGGAAAAGGTGTATTGAGTATTCATTCATTCATCCTTTATTGTCATAATTTAGACAATAAAAATCATAAAAGAGAGGGGGAATCTATAAAACATAGGTAATCCAGACATATTAAACACATAAAACATAAAAGACTCAGTACTAAAAATTAAGGAACAGGAAACCTCAGAGCACATTCTCGGCTAAGGAAGTTATGATCAGTACCAGGACCAAGATCAAAAGTATTTTGCCCAAACCCCACTCCTAGTTCTCCACCCCCAAACCCCTTTTCCCTTTTTCAGCAACCTAACTTGGGGTCAGGTAAGCTTTTCAGTTACCGTAGATATGATCCTGCTAGAAAACTGGAGTCATAAACACTTGCCGATTTGTGACAAATAACTCCTGGGAGATCTCAATCTGCCTTCTGCTCACCTGACTTCCTGAGAGCAAAGGCTCTTCTACTTTCCCCAAATAATCTTTAGGCTGCTTTCCCATACCCTGCAAGCCCCATTTAACAATGGGACTTACTTCAGAGTAGCCAAACTTTCAACCGTGTAGGTGATATCACGGAACATGGGATGGAGAGGAAGATTCTATCCTGAAGAAACTTACGCAGATTCACAAAACTTCTGAGAAGTCAACAACATGATTTTCCCACAAGGCAAAACAGGGGCAGTGCTCTGCTATGGAAAGGGACATTAAATAGGGGCTGTGCCAGCTAAAATGAGGCCGTTAAGAGCCGATCCTTTCCTTAGGAGTGGACTGCATCACACGTCAAGAAAGATGCTGTCGCTTTTCCTGATGATGATAAAGCAACAGCTCAGTGCTGGGGATCAACAGCACATGTTAAGGCTGAGCCAGAAGCACCACCCCACTCCCCCATGAAGAAAGTGTGGTTCCCCCTCTGACATGCCCTTTCTCTGCAGCCCACTCACCATCTTGCAGCTAGTTCGTCAGCTTTTCTTCTCACGTTCTCCTGGAGTGAAAATGAAAGCAAAGCCTCATCTAGCAAACATCAACCTTCCTCAGTAAAGGAGTGGGACACAAAGCTGGCAGCTCCTTTTCAGCAAAGTTCAGGCCACAGGGAGAACATCCTCATGGGAGGGGAGGGATGGGCCAGTCTGTCCATTTTGGTTTTTCTCAATTTCTCATTTGTTTTAAGAGCATGGCTTTCAAGGGCCCAGGGTAGAGATGAGAACACTGCACAGAATCGCAGCTCAGGTTTTGAGTCTACCCCCATCTTCTGTGCTAGTATAAATTGCATTTATATACTAATATTCATTCATCCTTTATTTGCATAATTTAGACAATAAAAGTCATAAAAGATAGGGGGAATCTATAAAACACAGGTAATCGAGACTTATTAAACACATAAAACATAGAAGACTCAGTACTGAAAATTAAGGAACGGGAAACCTCAGAGCACATTCTCGGCTAAGGAAGTTATGATCAGTACCAGGACCAAGATCAAAAGTATTTTTGCCCAAACCCCACTCCTAGTTCTCCACCCCCAAACCCCTTTTCCCTTTTTCAGCAAACCTAACTTGGGGTCAGGTAAGCTTTTCAGTTACCGTAGATATGATCCTGTTAGAAAACTGGAGTCATAAACACTTGCCGATTTGTGACAAATAACTCCTGAGAGATCTCAATCTGCCTTCTGCTCACCTGACTTCCTGAGAGCAAAGGCTCTTCTGCTTTCCCCAAATAATCTTTAGGCTGCTTTCCCATACCCTGCAAGCCCCATTTAACAATGGGACTTACTTCAGAGTAGCCAAACTTTCAACCGTGTAGGTGATTTCACTGAACATGGGATGGAGAGGAAGATTCTATCCTGAAGAAACTTACGCAGATTCACAAAACTTCTGAGAAGTCAACAACATGATTTTCCCACAAGGCAAAACAGGGGCAGTGCTCTGCTATGGAAAGGGACATTAAATAGGGGCTGTGCCAGCTAAAATGAGGCCGTTAAGAGCCGATCCTTTCCTTAGGAGTGGACTGCATCACACGTCAAGAAAGATGCTGTCGCTTTTCCTGATGATGATAAAGCAACAGCTCAGTGCTGGGGATCAACAGCACATGTTAAGGCTGAACCAGACACACCACCCCACTGCCACATGAAGAAGGGGTGGTTCCCCCTCTGACATGCCCTTTCTCTGCAGCCCACTCACCATCTTGGAGCGGGTTCGTCAGCTTTTCTTCTCACGTTCTCCTGGAGTGAAAATGAAAGCAAAGCCTCATCTAGCAAACATCAACCTTCCTAAGGAAAGGGGTGGGACACAATGCTGGCAGCTCCTTTTGAGCAAAGTTCAGGCCATCCTTGTGGAAGGGAGGGATGGGCCAGTCTGTCCATTTTGGTTTCTCTCGATTTTTCATTTTCCCAATCTTAAGTATAGGTAAAGGTAAAGGGGACCCCTGACCATTAGGTCAGTTGTGGCCGACTCTGGGGTGGCGGCGCTCATCTCACTTTACAGGCCGAGGGAGCTGGCATACAGCTTCCAGGTCATGTGGCCAGCATGACTAAGCCGCTTCTGGTGAACCAGAGCAGCGCACGGAAACGCCATTTACCTTCCCGCTGGAGTGGTACCTATTTATCTACTTGCACTTTGATGTGCTTTCGAACTGCTAGGTTGGCAGGAGCAGGGACCGAGCAACGGAAGCTCACCCTGTCGCAGGGATTCGAACTGCCAACCTTCTGATCGGCAAGTCCTAGGCTCTGTGGTTTAACCCACAGGGCCACCTGCGTCCATCTAATCTTAAGTGTAGCTCTCCACATTTCCACATCAGTTTCTTTCCTGTGAAGCCCTATGAAAACTAATCAGCTTTTGGTGTGAATTTCTTGTAATATACCTTATAACACATTTGTATGCAGTCATGCCTAATACAGTTGTACCTTGGTTGTCGAACAGAATCCGTTTGACTTCCGAAAACGTTCGACAACCAAAATGCGGCTTCCAATTGGCTGCAGGAGCTTCCTGCACTAAAATGGAAGCCAAGTCGGATGTTTGGGTCCCAAAGAACATTTCCAAACCGGAACACTCACTTCCGGGTTTGTGGTGTTCGTGAGCCAAAATGTTTGATTTGCAAGGCGTTCAGAATCCAAGGTATGACTGTACACATATTTTTGCAAATTGATTTCCCCTAATACAACACATTTCTGTGTACAGTGGTACCTTGGGTTAAGTACTTAATTCGTTCTGGAGGTCTGTTCTTAACCTGAAACTATTATTAACCTGAAGCACCACTTTAGCTAATGGGGCCTCCTGCTGCTGCTGCGCCGCCGGAGCACAATTTCTGTTCTCATCCTGAAGCAAAGTTCTTAACCCGAGGTACTATTTCTGGGTTAGCGGAGTCTGTAACCTGAAGCGTATGTAACCTGAAGCGTATGTAACCCGAGGTACCACTGTATTATTTCATATGTGCGTTTTTATTTCCGCATTACCCCAGTATTCTTGTGCATATTATTTTGCTGCATTGCAAAATTCAGAGAAGTAGGTTCCAAAGGAGGGCTGCGTTTCGGTTCTCATATTGTTATGGGAAGTGTGAATTAGGTGTGTTTGTCTTTAAATGCAAATTGAATCAAATTTCTCCACAATCCCTAGCGAAGGGGCCAAAAGCCGGCACAGGAGGACAAGGAGGACTATGGACCGCTCTACCTCCTCTCTTCTAGCCTTGAACCCTTGAGGGGAGCAGGCAAGGGAAGGAGAAGTTAGTGACAGATCATCTGCAACATGCATCTTAAATATTGGGACTGGGAATACAAATTATTGAGCTATGATCAATTGACGACCATAAGGAGGAATTAGCCCAGGTGCAGGGAATCTTTTTCAGTCCAGGGGGTGAGAGTCCCTTCTGGGCTATTTTCTGGGGGTGAGCACATGGCGCCAGAGGCGAAAGTGCACAGAGCAGCAAATGTGAATTTAACCTTCACACAGCACACAAGAACATAAGGTAAGCCTACAGAATCAGGCTATCTAGTCCAGCATCCTGTCTTCACATTGGCCAACCAGGTTCCTGGGAGAAACCTGAGGGATGCGAAACACATAGCAATCAAGTACAACATTCCTATGGGATTGATTCCTATGGGTGGCGCTGTGGGTTAAACCACAGAGCCTAGGGCTTGCTAATCAGAAGGTCGGTGGTTCGAATGCCTGTGAAGGGGTGAGCTCCCATTGCTCAGTCCCTGCTCCTGCCAACCTAGCAGTTCGAAAGCACGTCAAAGTGCAAGTAGATAAATAGGTACCGCTCCGACGGGAAGGTAAACGGCGTTTCCGTGTGCTGCTCTGGTTCGCCAGAAGTGGCTTAGTCATGCTGGCCACATGACCCGGAAGCTGTACGCCGGCTCCCTCGGCCAATAAAGTGAGATGAGCGCCACAACCCCAGAGTTGGCCACGACTGGACCCAATGGTCAAGGGTCCCTTTACCTTTACCTTACAACACTCCTAGAATGGATATGCTAGTGGATGCTTTGTACCAGCCAGGAGTCTAACTTCCTGTTTCCTCCTGGCTGTGTGTGAGGCCTAATCTGGGGAAGAGGAGTACACCATCTTCTTTAGCTTCTCTCTCTTCTCCATTTTGTTTTTCTACATGTTAGCAGAAGTGACTGCCTGTCATCAGTCACTTGGAACTATCTCCCTTATGGGATAGTTCCACATGTACATATACTTTTGTAACCTAAGTCTGCCTTCAGGGATCCAGCTGTGAACTGAATGATTGTGAGTAAACTAGTTTTATATTGACTTTAATAAGATTGCTGTGTCTATTCTTTTTAAGAGGGACAAGAAGGGATCTTACCAGGAATCTTGTATTGAGAGGCTCAGACGAGCCTGCAACAAACCACTGTGCGTTTAAAGGGGGATGTTTAAAGTCTGCTAAGCTATAGAACTTGCTAACGCAAGTGAGGAAGGGTATAATTAAACAATATATCCTCTCCTGCCTCCCTGAACATTCCCACAAAGCCAGCAAACAGGGGTCAGGACTCAAGCATAAGGGCATTCCCCCTTACGGTGCAGTGGCGTCACAACGGGGGTGTGTGTGCACCCCAGGTGCCGTGTCTGGGGGGTGACCAGAAGGCATCCCGTGGGGGCTCGCGGTGGCGCGAGCAGCCACCATGCCGCCACAGCCGCATGTGGAGGATCCTCCGTTCGCGGCTGCAGCCGTGAGCAGAGGATCCTGGTGCTGGCGGCAAACCGCTATGTACAGCGCATGTGCAGCGTCACACGCATGCGCTGTACGTAACAATGCCGCACATGCACTGTACATAGCAGTTTGCCACAGCGGCGCTTGAGTGCCATATGGACAGTAGTGGGATTCCTCTGCCACCGCTACAATCACAAACAGAGGGTCCTCTGCTTGCGGCTGCAGCTGCAAGCAGAGGATCCCGGCACCGTCCGTACAGCGCTGGAGCGACAGCGCTGGCAAACTGCTATGTACAGCGCATGTGCGGCGCCGCTACATACAGCACATGCGTGTGACACCGCACATGCGCCGCACATAATGGATTGCTGTCCCGGGTGTCACGACGCCTTCGTTTGCCTGTGACTTCCAGCAATTCAGAAGCACCCCTTCCTTTGGTAATCCTCACAGAACTCTAGCCCAATGGTTGCCATTAATTTGATTTTGAATTGATTTTTAAATGAATTGATTTTAGAATGCTGTGTTACTTTTATTGTTGTTAGCTGTTCTGAGCCCGGCTTCGGCTGGGGAGGGCAGGATATAAATAAAATTTTTATTTTTTTATTATTATTATTATCACTGCCTCCAACTGTGTAGCTGGAGCATAGCCATGTCACGGCTATAAGCCATTGATTGCATACCCTCCAACATTCCTCATATGAAAATAGGGACATTGCTCACTCCTCACCCCAACTGACCCTCCTCGAACCCCCATTGCCTGTGTCCCCTCCCCCACAGAGCATTTCCTATCAGACGAAGGGTGAGTTGACATGAGCCAACAGTGTGACGCGGCAGCTAAAAAAGCCAATGCAATTCTGGGCCTCATCAATAGGAGTATAGCATCTAGATCAAGGGAAGTAATAGTGCCACTGTATTCTGCTCTGGTCAGACCTCACCTGGAGTACTGTGTCCAGTTCTGGGCACCACAGTTCAAGAAGGACACTGACAAACTGGAACGTGTCCAGAGGAGGGCAACCAAAATGGTCAAAGGCCTGGAAATGATGCCTTATGAGGAACGGCTAAGGGAGCTGGGCATGTTTAGCCTGGAGAAGAGGAGGTTAAGGGGTGATATGATAGCCATGTTCAAATATATAAAAGGATGTCACATAGAGGAGGGAGAAAGGCTGTTTTCTGCTGCTCCAGAGAAGCGGACACGGAGCAATGGATCCAAACTACAAGAAAGAAGATTCCACCTAAACATTAGGAAGAACTTCCTGACAGTAAGAGCTGTTCGACAGTGGAATTTGCTGCCAAGGAGTGTGGTGGAGTCTCCTTCTTTGGAGGTCTTTAAGCAGAGGCTTGACAACCATATGTCAGGAGTGCTCTGATGGTGTTTCCTGCTTGGCAGGGGGTTGGACTCGATGGCCCTTGTGGTCTCTTCCAACTCTATGATTCTATGATTCTATGAGTGCCACCCCCCATTTCACCAGCACACCCCCACCCTCCACCGCCCACAGAAAACCCATCAATCCTGGTTTCATTTTATTCTTTGGTAGATTGACAAGAAAAACACACTCCGATAAATAAATTGAGAAAGGGGCAAGATGAGATGTTGAAGGACAAAGCATTTTTAAATAAAAAAAACCAAGACTTCTTTGTTCTCCGCTCCCCCTTTCTTCCTATCCAGGGCAGCCCTGCCCTCTGCCTGCCCCTCAGAGACAGTGCCTCATGTGGGGCTGGGCCTTGGAACCGGCAGAGAAAGGCTGGGAAGGGGTGAGGAGGTGTGGCGCTCCCTCCCCACAGAGTTGCATCTGACACCTTGCCCCTGGCAAGTGCTGGACACACAACAATTTGCCCTGGCTTTTGAAACTTGAGGTGTTTATTTTTCAGACCCCACTTTATTTCTGTGACTGCAAGTTTTTTTGAAAAAGTTTTAAACATTGTGTTTTAATGTTGCAATGTGCCCCAGAACCTTAGGGTGAAGGATGGGTAACTAATAATAACAATGGGTTCAGATTTCTCTGTGGATTGCTGTTTCCGTGTGCACATTTGTGTTCCCTCATTCATACGTGGGTACTTTAAATTTTATGCCTCCAAAATCTATGTCAGTGTTTCCCATTCCCACTAGTGGGCGGTGTGCTTGGTGAAATATATTTGCATTGTCTGTTGCTGTCCCCTCCCCTAAATCGGCACTTCTCCGTCCACCATAAATTCTAGAAACCTCAGATCCATTATGGGCATGCCTGCAAGTATTTGTTGATTTTATTTTTTTAAGGAGAGGACCGATCTGTTGCAAAAGGTATTTTCTTGGAGCAATAATGGTTTCTCTCTTCCTAATGTTCACAGACTCTTCAGAATCCATATACAAGAGGCCATGAAAGCTCAGACTCATTTTTATATACTAGTCAACAATATTTCTTCCACAAATATTAAGTTGCATTCTCTTTTATTTTATTGTAAGTAGACAAGGTATAGCAATTTATAATCCTTTTAAAAAATAAATTTGTTTTCTGTTCTGTGTCGTCTTTCTGAGCATTGTCTTCTCTTTTCCCCTCTTTTTGTTTCGTTCCTGTAAAAAAAAAACACACAACCACACACAATTTTTAAAAATGCAAATGAGTTACCGGCACCACAGGTATTCCCCATTCATCACAGTCCTACAAAGTGGTCCAGAATGATACTCTGACTGATTGCATCAGCCACCACCAAGAGATCCAGGAGATTCATCAGGGTCTCAGCCTCCCTTGTCTTCCAGGGAAGATCATCCACTGGAGCAAGGAGAACCAATGTTGTGTAGGTTCCCATACCTCCAGAATTTCCTGGACATACTCGGTATTCAGCCCTCATAAACAGCGTCTGGGCGGAAATCGCTTAAATGTCCAGGAAAATCTGGCCACATGGCAGCCATGTTGGTAGTGTGTCCAGATTTCCACTTTTTGAAATATGGCAACCCTATTGTTGTACCCTCTACACGTTTTGAACTACAACTCCCAACAGCCCCAGCAAGCCTGGCCAATGTAGAGAATTATGGGAGTTGTAGTCCAAAACATCTGGAAGGCATTACATTGGCTACCCCTGCCCTACAGAAGGCAGAGCAGTTTAAGATTTCAAAACTAGGATAGACATCACAACGGAACAGATCCAAATAACCTGCCTTCATCCAAGCGTACATGGAAGTCACATTGTACTGATACATCAGATTTGGCCAGGGTCAAATGATTTGACACTGGTCAGTAGTATCAGTAGGACTAAGGTGTTCCTTTAAGAGAGGTCTGACTGACTACTGCAAACTTTCCTCCTCCAACAAACCTTTTAAGTTGAGTTCGCACCCAGTCTGCATCTGTACTGGAATTATTTTCAATGTGTTTTTATTGCTTTATCACTTGTTGCTCTGCAAATCTGTCTCCTTTGGGAGGAAGGGTGGGAGATATCAATGTAATAAATAAATAAACTTGCCCAACAACAGCTCCTTTAAGATTAGATTGCCTCATTTCAAAGGACTTCTCTTTAACTGACAAACGGCTGTTCTCCTTACCGTAAGCAAGAGAAACCACGTTGACAAGTTTTAAACGGGGAAGGATTAAGAAGCTTTAAAAACCTGCAACTCACCCTAAGAGACTCTCTGCAAGTTGACATCCCCTTTGATCTCCAGAGCCCGGGCGCTAAAAAAGGGAATGCGGTGGACGTATTTCAGGAAGTCTTTACTATTGACAGTTACCTAGGGAAAGAATAGAACAAGAAAGTGACAGCACAGGCAGATTTAGGGCAGCACGACCGGTACCTCCGCATAGGGTGCTGAGCAATTGTCATCTAAGACATGTGCCCTCTCTGAGGGATGTGTGGAGGGTGGTGGCATGAGAATGGGCCTTTTCGGTGATGGCTCCCTGCTTGTGGAATGCTCTCCCTAGGGAGGCCGGCCTTACAGCATCATTATACAGTGGTACCTCGGTTTAAGAACAGCCCTGTTTACAAACTATTCGGTATACGAACTCCGCAAAACCGGAAGTAGTGTCCCGGTTAGCAAACTTTACCTCTGTCTAAGTATGGAAGCCAAACAGTGGAAGGGGACCAGCAGCAGGAGGTCTCATTAGGGAAAGCGCGCTTCAGTTTAAGAACAGCTTTGGTTGAAGAATGGACCTCCGGAACGGATTAAGTTCGTAAACTGAGGTACCACGGTATATCTTTATGCAACAACATTTTTTTCCGCCCAGGCTTTTGCATGTAAATTTGGAGGGTTTCAGACATTTGTTGTCTCTTTTTAGTGGGTGAGATGTGTTAATCCTGCGAAAAAGCTACTAATCAGTAGAAATAATCAATAACTATCGTAATAATGACTACCACTAGGAGTCAGTAAAGTTGTTTTGATACTGGAGAGAGAGGTCTCATCGCCTAGCTCCCATTAGCAGCCTCGCCACGATGTTCTCAGCTAGCTGCTGCCTCTAAACTGTCTTCAAAGGCAGCCACACGTGGCCAGATTCTCTCTGTCCAAAAGAAATCATTGTTAGGAAGCCAGTCTCAGAAATGCTTCATGCCTCAGAGGCTATTTGCACCTCCAGTGACAAAGATGAGTTCACTAGGAAGATGAATTCATACTTTGAAACATTCTTTAGATAGGAGAGGGAAACGTGCCTTATCTAATATATTAACATCAGGGGCTGTGTGTTTTCCGAAAACAAGGAGTAAAGGCTCAGAGCATGTTTGCATTTGCTCATCCTTGAGAGTATTTGCGGATGCAGAAAGAATAGAGGGCTTTATGCTCATCTATGCTCTTGAGAGTCCCATGGACTGCAAGAAGATCAAGCCTATCCAATCTGAAGGAAATCAGCCCTGAGTGCTCACTGGAAGGACAGATCGTGAAGCTGAGGCTCCAATACTTTGGCCACCTCATGAGAAGAGAAGACTCCCTGGAAAAGAGCACAAGGGCACAAGGAGAATGTCTAAATGCAGGGCATTTTTTTTCAATCGGAACTCACCAGAACTCAGTTCCAGCATCTCTCAGGAGGGCGCCATTGCCATTCTAAGAGAACGAGGGGGCATTCATGGTGAGTTCTGGCACCTCTTTTTCTAGAAAAATAGAACTGCCTAAACATAAAGCCGGGACACGGGTGGCGCTGTGGGTTAAACCACAGAGCCTAGGACTTGCCGATCAGAAGGTCGGTGGTTCGAATCCCTGCGACAGGGTGAGCTCCCGTTGCTCAGTCCCTGCTCCTGCCAACCTAGCAGTTCAAAAGCACATCAAGGTGCAAGTAGATAAATAGGTACCACTCCAGCGGGAAAGTAAACGGCGTTTCCGTGCGCAGCTCTGGTTCGCCAGAAGCGGCTTAGTCATGCTGGCCACGTGACCCGGAAGCTGTACGCCGGCTGCCTCGGCCAATAAAGTGAGATGAGCGCCGCCACCGCAGAGTCGGTCACGACTGGACCTAATGGTCAGGAGCCACTTTACCACTTTACTTTACTAAACATAAAGCCATATTGCCCGTTACAGAAAAAGTAAAGCCATCTTGAGCCACGAGAATTAAAAGCCCACAGGCCATGAGAAGACTGTTTGATGAAGAATGGATATGCCCCGCCGGCAGCCTCACCCTGTAGCAGTCGCTCATGACATCAATGATCATCATAAAAGTGGCCCCTGCCTCGAAAGGAATGGGCCAGCGCTCCTCTTTTCCCCAACCTCCATTTTGCTTCGTATTGCAGACCACCTCGTTTTCGTTCATCCGCGGGTTGAAGTGGAAGACGATGTCGCCATTCTCGCCCAACAGATTAACAGTGAACACGAACCTGAAATGCGATATTGACACTGAAGCTATGTAGGAGGAGATGGTACTGAAGGGAAAGGTGGGGTGAGGGGGGTTAATAGCGGAGGGGTAGTGGGAGAAAGGGGTAGTTTGAGGCTGAATTAAGAAAGGATGTCCTGAAACTCACCTTAGAACGATAGAATCAAAGTTGTAAGGGACCCTGAGGATTATCTAGTCCAACCCCTTGAAATGCAGGAATGTGCAAATGTCCCATATGGGGATCAAATCAGCTACCTTGGGATTATCAGCGCCATGCTCTAACCAACTCAGCTACCCAGACTTTGGGATAGGATGGGCCATTAAAGCTTATTAAATACATACTGGTGTATAGTGCTAGGGAAACTACTTAACGCAAAGATGGCTGTAGTTTTCACCTCCTTAAAATGTGTAGCATTTCAATGCACACAAGTATCTGCTTTTTAAAAAAAGGGTGGTGAAATATACTCGGAGTCAAGAGTGGATTTCATGCTCTTTATTCCCCTCATAGTGGTGAGGAGGAATGGAATTTCCCCCACAATATCTGCTTTATATACATTATTTACACAATGGGCTGCACGTGATTGGCTAATTCCGGGATTCTCCTGTAGGCCAATCAGGTTGTGGATTCACTTCCACCTGGAGCTGGATTGGGTGGCTCCTGCGGACAAATCATACTGCTGCATTGTTCTAGGACCAATCAGACTGCTGCATTCTGAATCCTGTTGTTCTAGGGCCAATCAGACTGCTGCATTTTGGATCCCATTCAACTCAGTGCATAACAGGTGGGGAGGTTTGCTCACCCCGAGGGCCACATTTGCTTTCTGGACAACCTTCTGAGTGCCACCCCCCAGTGGTGGGCAGGGCCAGAGGCAAAATGGAGGAAGGAGTTGTACTTATTTAGTAATATAGTTTTACCTGTTGCGCAGCAGATTAGTTTCTCCACCAGCCTTCACCAGCCTGGTGTCCTCCAGATGCTGTGGGACAGCACCGGGTTGTTGAAAGCTGTCCTGCATCCACTCACCCATCCAACCCCATCCTTTACCCAGGGAAGCAGAAAATGCATGATCAGAGTTTGAGGGCCAATTCCAGCCAGGCAAAAACACTCTGGATATGAAGCAGGGCTAGTGAACAGTGTGGCCTGTGGAGAGCTCCAAGGGCCAAATGCAGAGGCCTGGAGGGCCGCATCTGGACCCCAGGTCTGAGTCCCCCATACTAAATTGTCACAGAGTGGTGGTGTGATGTGTAGCCAGTGCAAAAAAAAAGTGACCTTTTAACAGCTGCACAGAAGAATTCTGGTAAGTGTGATTTGTCCTGAAGGGGTGGGAAAAGTTGTGACAAGTATTGACACCCTGCAAGGGAACATTGGGCAGGGAGCAGCTATAGAATAAACTCTAGCTTTCTTTTAAAAATGACAACTTTTGATAACAGTCATTATTGAAAGGAAGTTTTGACCAGTACAGGCTTTTTAGTCCCAGCACTTTCCTCAGGAAGACCCAAATTTCACCACTGAATCGGAGCAACTGGAAATAGGGTTTTTTGGGGGTTGCCATTTGCTCCAATTCACTTGGGTTTTCCCAGGTAAAACTTGGGTTTCCCCCGGGAAAACCTGAGGACACAACAAAAAAACACTCGAACACAGAGCTGGAAAGCCTGGGCAGTTGCCTCGAAAGCATGAAAGCAAAGGTGAATGTGAATGAGCCCTCAGTGCTGCTCATAGTATCTTTTCTATGTGACAAAAAGTCAAAATATAGTCTGAAGAGTTAATGTCGGTGTGGTAGAGGGTTTGGGCTCCCTAAGATAACTTTTGCCTGTTGTCTTTGTCCATGGAGTTTTCTTGGTAGGGATACTGGAGTGGCTTGCCAGTTCCTGCTCCAGGTGGATCACGTTTGGTCAAAACTCTCCACTATGACCTGTCCATCTTGGGTAGCCCTGCACGGCATAGCTCACAGCTTCTCTGAGTTATTCAAGCCCCTTGGCCACGGCAAGGCAGTGATCCATGAAGGGGATCACTTCATTCCCAGTAGTGATGTATGGAAGTGAAAGCTGGACCATAAAGAAGGCTGATCGCCGAAGAATTGATGCTTTTGAATTATGGTGCTGGAGGAGACTCTTGAGAGTCCCATGGACTGCAAGAAGATCAAACCTCTCCATTCTTCAGGAAATCAGCCCTGAGTGCTCACTGGAAGGACAGATCCTGAAGCTGAGGCTCCAATACTTTGGCCACCTCATGAGAAGAGAAGACTCCCTGGAAAAGACCCTGATGTTGGGAAAGATGGAGGGCACAAGGAGAAGGGGACGACAGAGGACGAGATGGTTGGACAGTGTTCTCGAAGCTACCAGCATGAGTTTGACCAAACTGTGGGAGGCAGTGGAAGACAGGAGTGGCTGGCGTGCTCTGGTCCATGGGGTCACGAAAAGTCGGACATGACTAAACAACTAAACAACAGCAACAAGAAGAAGATAACTTTCTGACTTCAGCCTGGGAAATTCTTTAGCAATGGGAGAAAGATTGTAGGAGGGGTAAGGGCATTTGTTGAGGGAAGGAGGGCATGGGAGGCAAAGAGGAGGCACACAGGGAGACATACCCTTTTGCGGAATGCAGGACCTGGCCTATGATGCAAATCGACATCCCCCCACGCAAGGGCGCGTGAAAGTATTGAAGAAAGGGAACACTCTGTGGAGCAGAAAAGCAAAAATCATCACATCCTTGTTCCTATTCTCCAAAATGAACTATACATTTATCATCATCATCTATTATAAATCTCTACTGGAAGTAAAGGTAAAGGTAAAGGGACCCCTGACCACTAGGTCCAGTCGCGATGACTCTTGGGTTGCAGCGCTCATCTTGCTTTATTTGCCGAAGGAGCCGGCATACAACTTCCAGGTCATGTGGCCAGCATGACTAAGCCACTTCTGGCGAACCAGAGCAGCGCATGGAAACGCCGTTTACCTTCCCGCCGGAGCGGTACCTATTTATCTACTTGCGCTTGATGTGCTTTCGAACTGCTAGGTTGGCAGGAGCAGGGACCGAGCAACGGGAGCTCACCCCGTTGCGGGGATTCGAACCGCCGACCTTCTGATCAGCAAGACCTAGGCTCTGTGGTTTAACCCACAGCACCACCTGCGTCCCCTACTGGAAGTAGTTAAGTTTTAAAAATCAGGAGGCTGCTTCTCAAATATGCACACTTGGTCCTAGAGTTGGGGACACCCTAGGCAGAGACCTTAACTTGGGAATAAACTTAAAGCCCCTAGGGGACCTCAGCTGGGGGAGCAAGGGTTAATTCCTCCTCCATGCCCACCACAGTCCCAAAAATTATCAGGCCTCCCATCTAATGCTATTCTATTGGCTTTAGGGTTGGAGGGAGCCCAGCATGTTAAATGCAAAGATGCATTTAACACATAGCTGTCAACGTTTCCCTTTTTAAAAGGGAAATTCCCTTATTCCGAATAGGATTCCTCGCAAGAAAAGGGAAAAGTTGACAGCTATGATTTAACCTCCTCCTCTGATTTGGAGAGGAGGAAGGAATGTGAGCCACATCACTGCTGAGGTTAACTGGAAGTCAGCGGTTAGGATTTGCCATCAGGAAGAACTTTCTGGTGGTAAGAGCTTTTCGATAGCGGAACGGACGCGCTCAGAAGGTGGTGGACTCTCATTCCTTGGCGGTTTTTAAGCAGAGGTTGCCTGGCCATCTGTCATGGGTGCTTCAGTTGAGATTTCTGCATTGCGGGGGTTGGACTGGATGACCCTCAGGGTCCCTTCCAGCTGAACCATTCTGTTATTCTATTATCTTAGCGTTCCCTTCCCCGTCCCCTTTACTGTGCCTTGAACAGCAGCCTGGCAGACAAAATATTTAAGGAGGCAAGCTTTTCCCATCACCCAATTGCATGCCATAAACCCTGCTGGGATCCTTTGCAGATGACCGCAGTGCCTGGAGACAGACAGTCCACAGCAGTGATTACAGCAGGAATGACCAATAAAACAAAAAAACCAGGCACTGTAACTCTTCAACCATTTGACTGTTCCCCCGATGGCACTTTCCTCCATTGTCCCGCCAGGCAGATGGATGACAACTTCAATTCCATGCCAAAGCTCTGCCTACTTAGTTTCTGCATTTCCTATATGTTTGAATCAATGTCTGATCCTAGCTGCAGGTCGCCATTCCACCTGCAAGCTTGGTCAGGTTGCCTGCAAAAACTCTGCTGCGAAGGAGGCAGGAAAGGGACTGTAAATCTGCTTGGCCACTTATTTAGAGATCTGCTTTAGAGATCTGCCTCACCATATGAGATGCATGCTGTTATTTAGAAAGCTCCAGCCCACGCCACCCTTCTTCCCATTGCAATCCCAAAAGCTTTCATCTATTAAACATCTTATTTCTATACTCACTGGATGCAAAATAGGTGAGGAGAAAGCCATCTTATAGCACTTGCTGGAACTGACCGAATGATTCTCTACCTTTTTCTGCCCTCCAAAGACGCAATGAAAGCAGATGCTTATATAGAATTAAGTTTCATTTCCTCAGGAAGCAAAACGTGTGAAAGCAAAACCACCAGGACTGTTTTACCTTTAAATGAGACAGTTCTTGGAAATCTGCTTTGCTGCACAAGCATTTTTCCCCACCTGCACTACATTGCCGTGTGACTGGTGTCAGCAATTTCTAAAAGCTGACAGAACTGTGGCTTTTACTTTTTTAAAAAATACTATTGTTTGATGACATACCTCTATGCTCTTTGGAAGCCCAGAGCACTTACTTGAATTGTTATGATTTTTCCTTTTATTCGTGATTATTTATTGGGGAAACAAAGTGCTTTCATTCATTAGGAAGCCGTTTTTAAAATTTAAATTTGAAGAAATGTTTATGGGTATTGATGCTTTTCTTTGTTGTTTATAATAATAAATGTGAGAGAAACGGGATTCTTTCTGGGTTAGAAAGTTTGCACAAGTATTAAGGAAACATTGGGCAGGGAGGAGATATAGAATAAACTTTAGTTTTCTTTTTAAAATAACAACTTGCGTGAGCAGTCATTATTGAAAGGAAGGGTGTACCTTACAAATACTGAAGATGTATGGTTCTGTTACTCTTTGTATGGTTATGTGTTAAGATAGTTTGTACATATGTTCATGATAAATCTATGTATATATCGAAGAAAGAAACGTAACGTACTGCATTCTGTGAATCAATATAACGTCTTCTGGAAAGGTTCCACCTTCTGTATCATGTGTGTTACATCAGTGGAGTTTGCTGCCTTCTTAGTAGTTTGGTTTTGTTTGACTTTATCCTCAGCTGAACACCAAAATGTGTAGCTAACCCAGGGACAGGGAGCATTCCCCTCTGAGCAATCATCTGTGGGTTGAGCACAAGCCAGTGATGGTCAGGGCCAGAGGCAACAGCGAACAAATCTTAATTCTACCTTCACACCGTACACAAGAACATAAGAGGAGCCTACTGGAACAATCCAATGACCCATCTAGTCCAGCAACCTGTGGTCACAGTGGCCACCCAGATACCTGTGAGAAACCAGAAAGTGGGACCCGAGCACAAGAACATTCTCCCCTCCTGTGGCTTCCAGCAGCTGGCATTCAAAAGTAATATTGCCTCACTGTGGAGGTGGAGAATAGCCATCACGGTTTCATAGAATCATACAATTGCAGAGCTGGAAAGAACACCAAAGGACATCTAGTCCAACCATCATCTTTTTTACCTCTGGGGCACATCTCAGGGCCAAGTCTCCGTGATTTATTCTAGCCTAAGTATTTTTGTGGGGAACATTTGTCTAAAGGTGGATGAGGGCCGATATCAATCTAAACAACTTGTGATGTTGCTCTCCGCTGCACATGTTCCAGCTTGTCAATATCCTTCTGAAATTGTGGTGCCCACACAGTACTGTGGTACCTCAGGTTACATACGCTTCAGGTTACATACGCTTCAGGTTACACACTCCGCTAACCCAGAAATAGTGCTTCAGGTTAAGAACTTTGCTTCAGGATGAGAACAGAAATTGTGCTCCAGCGGCACAGCGGCAGCAGGAGGCCCCATTAGCTAAAGTGGTGCTTCAGGTTAAGAACAGTTTCAGGTTAAGAACGGACCTCCGGAACGAATTAAGTACTTAACCCGAGATACCACTGTACTCCAGGTGTGGTCTGACCAAGGCAGGAGTGGTACTATTGACTCCCTTGAATAAAACCTAGAATAGTGTTAGGGGTTTGTTTTTTTTGCTGCTGCATCACCCTGTTGACTCATGTTCAGCTTGTGGTCCACTAAGACCTCTCCATCCTTTTCACATGTACTGCTAGTAAGCCAGGTGTCCCCAATCTTATATTGTGCCACTGGTTCTTGCTGCCTAAGTGCAGAACCTTGCATTTGTCCCTGGTGAAATTCATTTTGTTAGCTTGTGTCCAGGTCTCCAATCTGTTAAGGTCATTTTAAATCCCGATTCAGTCTTCTGCGACATTAGCTACCCCTCCTAGTTTGGTGTCATCTGCAGATTTGATGAGCATCCCCTCAATTCCTTCATCCAAGACATTGAGCAACAACAGGCCCAGGACAGAACCCTGTGACACCCCATTTGTCACTTTTTCCAGGATGATGAGGAACCATTAATGAGCATTCTTTGGGTTCAGTCACTCAATCAGCTATGAAAAAAACTGAAAACCAAATGAACACTAGGCCCAGATGGTGTTTCTTCAAATTTCTACAAGAAGTTTAAAGATCTGATTCTTCCTTTTTTAATTATTTTATTTAAAAAATTGGAATGGTGAAGAAATACCAGGCACTTGGAAACCATCTCAAATAACCATCTCAACTAGAATGTTTATAATCTTTTTTATTTTAGTCGGTTATAATTGTTCTCTTTCTTTTATATACATTATAAAATGAAATAATAAAAAACTTTACAAAAAGAGAGTAAAATTAAATAAACACTTTTAAATCTACAATATATTAGACATCTTACAGCTGTGATTCCTGCACTGCAGGAAGGTGGACTAGATGATCCTTGTGGTCACTTCCAACTCTATGATTCTATGACTGGCAAGCATCAAAGCCTTATATAAAAAGCTATGATTTGACCTAAATTTCTAATGCAAACAAACAGGAGCACAGGGAGGATGAGGAAGAGTAAGGGTGGTTTCTTTGGAAAATCAGAGGACAGCAGTCGCTGGATATTTCCAATGATAGCATGCATTGAATGAGTGGTTAAATTCATGCTTCTCCCATTTATTTTACCATCTATATCAGGCATGGTCATCTGGTCCACAGTGCCTTTGAATCTGGCCTACTGCCTCCCATTCTCAACCCTGTCCCACCATGCAACAATAATTACGCTTAGAGATATATATAAAAAAACACTGAAGATCATGGCAACTGGTCCCATCACCTCCTGGCAAATAGAAGGGGAAGAAATGGAGGCAGTGTGAGATTTTACTTTCTTGGGCTCCGTGATCACTGCAGATGGTAACAGCAGTCATGAAATTAAAAGATGCCTGCTTCTTGGGAGAAAAGTAATGACAAACCTAGACAGCACCTTAAAAAGTAGAGACATCACCTTGCCAACAAAAGCCCGTATAGTAAAAGCTATGGTTTTCCCAGTAGTGATGTATGGAAGTGAGAGCTGGACCATAAAGAAGGCTGATCGCCAAAGAATTGATGTTTTTGAATTATGGTGCTGGAGGAGACTCTTGAGAGTCCCATGGACTGCAAGAAGATCAAACCTCTCCATTCTGAAGGAAATCAGCCCTGAGTGCTCACTGGAAGGACAGATCCTGAAGCTGAGACTCCAATACTTTGGCCACCTCATGAGAAGAGAAGACTCCCTGGAAAAGACCCTGATGTTGAGAAAGATGGAGGGCACAAGGAGAAGGGGACGACAGAGGACGAGATGGTTGGACAGTGTTCTCGAAGCTACCAGCATGAGTTTGGCCAAACTGCGGGAGGCAGTGGAAGACAGGAGTGCCTGGCGTGCTCTGGTCCATGGGGTCACAAAGAGTCGGACACGACTAAACGAATAAACAACAACAACAAAAAAGCTTCCATTTTCTATTTTGCTAATTTCTTTCTGTGAAGTTCCTGTATTTTCTAAACAGTGAAAATGAAGATGAACTTTTCATAATAAAACAAAAACTAAGCATTTCCCCCTTTTTGTTTTTGCATGGCAAGCATTTTCTTTGAACATGGCTGTGAACACATTGCCATTTACTCTGGCATTCCCACAGCTGGCATCTGAAGCCATGTACACATGATATAAGCAAAAACTGCAAGGTTTTTAGCGGGGGCAGTTAGAATAAGATCTATGATTTATTGATGTAAACCCCCAAAATGTATTTTCCATAGTTAAGTTTTTACCTCTGTCTTCAGTACATTTTATTTTATTGCTATGGCTAGCCGCTGGTGCAAATAAAGATTCCTCTGCTGCATATTATCAGCCACAATCCATATCTATCATGTAGTTTCTTGATAAATGCTGCTGTTTGATGTGTCCTCCCTCATCCCAGCTTCCATCCAGTTTCAGGATGTAAGCCATGGTTAAGCTGAGGTGTGTACATTTGAGACAGCCATTGTACATGCACAGATGACAGCTTTATGAATGGGATTTGGAAGGATTGCAGGCTCAGGAAAACCAAGCAGTTAATGCTCCTCAGGTGAAGACATCCCTGCCCCCTCTCTAGTGTGTACTGCCATGTGCAAAAGCAACTTGAAATGTGATAGGTAGGGGGAATGAGCTGTAGTTTAAGCTGCTAATGACCCCCAGCTTTAAGTCTGAACTTTACAATGACCTGGAGAACCAAAAGTTCTAAAGGTTTCTTTTCCTTTTGTTATTGCATGACCAAAAAAAAATTCAGTACAGTCCACTCTTGTTCGCGAGAAAGTTAAAATCTTGCTATATAAGGACATGTTGGAAGGAGATGCTAGCAAAAAGGAAACAAGGAACTCTTGAACTTCCTCTCCAGGTCATGTGAAAGTGCAACTCTTGCAAGGAAACTATCCATGGGTCGTTTTGGGTGATTTCGGAAATAACTGCAGCCCCATCTCCCTAAATCCAGAAGCAGTTGTGCTAATTTCCTAGCCAAAGTGGAGTTTCATGCACACACATGCATACAAACACAATGGACAGTCTGTGATGGTCACTTGCAACAATCCTGCCAGATCCCTGGCAGTTTCATGTGGTCAGCAGACATCTGTCCTGAGTGATCTGGGTCCATAAAATCCTTAAACAGGATCCACCATCCATGGGCAAAAAACAGGGGCATGTGGTGGAGTCCCTCAGTAGAGGACCCTTAATGCAAGAAGGTCTTCTGCAAGGGAGTGACCTTTCCTCTCAACCAGCAGTTTCCAACGGTGCAGCTATAAAATACAGCCAGAGATTAGGGGCCACTCTTGCAAGTCTGCAAATCTATCAGCTTTTGACAACTATATCTGCTCAGGAGAATTCCCATAAATTTATTTATACTCCTAAATATTCCATTAGTTGTCTCCTCTGAAATACAAAGTGGCAGAGAGTCAT